TACGCATTTTATAAAATTAGTCTTGTTAAGATAAATAATATATAAAACACAAAGATATAATTGATTTATCGACACACCACCTGCACATCATATTTTAAGGACATTAATTATGCTTCATCGCCTATCAAACCTATTACATCTTCCATAAGAAAAGACGATGCAGTTATACTGCTTTCATAACGAATACCTCAAATATCTATCCAGAAATGAAAATACATTTTTGTAATATTTGCGTAATTGAGAAAACGGTATTCTTGATTTTACAGATCCTTTATCAGTGAGCCCGCAAAAAGCTTTGGAAACTATAGGTTCGAATTTACAAAAACAATATGAACGATGGCAACCGAGAGCTCGTTATAAACAGAGTTTAGATCCTACGGTTGAAGAAGTTAAAAAGTTGTGTACTTCTTTAAGGCGAAACGCGAAAGAGGAAAGAGTTTTGTTTCATTATAACGGGCATGGTGTTCCTAAACCGACTAGTAATGGTGAAATATGGGTATTTAATAGGGTTAGTTGAATTTAAACCAATTCTTAAACAATTGTTCGATGAGGATATTCTTAACGATGAATTATTATTACAGACATATACGCAATACATTCCTTTGTCTGTATACGATTTACAGACATGGATGGGTGCTCCTAGCATCTACGTATATGATTGTTCTAACGCAGGTATAATTGTAGAGTCTTTTCAACAATTTGCAGAACAACACGAGAAGGAATACGAGGTATATAAAATCTGACTTGTTTTTTGATTAAAAGTAAAGCTCGTGCATGGGTGTAATGTAAACGTTTCACAGATGGAAAAGCAGGTGGTTCAGCAGAACCGTGCAACTGGAGTTGCAGGTACCACAGTGCCATCTTACAAAAATTGTATTCAATTGGCAGCATGCGCGGCTAATCAGATTTTACCTATGAATCCAGATTTACCAGCAGATATATTCACATCATGCCTTACGACTCCAATAAAAATTGCATTGCGATGGTGAGATGAAAGAGTAAGAAGCACTGAACGTGATATATTTTTCTGTATAAAATTAACTTTTGTTTTACTTTTGTGCAGGTTTATAATGCAAAATACATCGAAATTGGTACCAAAAATATCATTAGACTTGATCGATAAGTAAGAATATTATATATATTTATAATAAATGTACATTAAATATTATCTTGCAAAAAACGAATCATTTATATATTATTCATTGTGGTACATAAATTTCAGAATTCCTGGGCAATTGGCTGATAGAAGAACAATGTTAGGAGAACTTAATTGGATATTTACAGCGATCACTGACACTATAGCATGGAACACGTTTCCAAGAGGTAAGCAAATGTTATGTAACTATTTTTAACATATAACAAAAGATGATGGATTATATAAATATAATTACTTTTTAGATTTATTCCAGAGATTATTCAGGCAAGATTTATTAGTTGCTAGTTTGTTCAGAAATTTTTTACTTGCCGAGAGAATACTTCGGTCATACGATTGTACTCCAGTTTCTTGTCCAAAATTACCTCCTACTTATCAGGTAAATATGAAAGATATTTTTTTAAAAGAGCAAGATACAATTTGGAATTACAAGATGTATGTTTTATATTATGTATACGTATTATTATTATTATATGTCGTCATTAATGTATTCACTTTTTTTTTTGTTTATGAATTTAGCACCCTATGTGGCAAGCATGGGACTTGGCACTTGATCTCTGTTTAGCGCAATTACCATCTATTCTTGAAAATAAAGATCAGTTTGTCCATTCCCCTTTTTTCGAGGAGCAGCTTACAGCCTTCCAAGTATGGCTTACTCTAGGTTCGAAAAACCGTAATCCTCCAGAACAACTGCCGATAGTACTTCAAGTTTTATTAAGTCAAGTCCATAGGCTAAGAGCATTGGAATTATTAGGACGCTTTCTTGATCTTGGTCCATGGGCTGTAAACTTGGCTCTTAGCGTAGGCATTTTCCCATATGTTCTAAAGCTACTTCAAAGTAATGCTAGGGAATTACGTCCATTACTCGTGTTTATTTGGGCAAAAATACTTGCAGTTGACAGTGTAAGTTTCGATACTAGGCCTTTAAAAGTGTTCAAGATCTTGTTTTCCATCATTTTCGTTTAACTACGCTAATCTTTTGCATATTTCGATTGTAGACTTGTCAAACAGATCTCGTGCGAGATGGAGGACATAAGTACTTTTTATCTGTTCTTCAGGATACTACTGTGCCGGTATTATTATATTTAATATTCCAGACTAAGTTTTTGAAAATTCCCAGTTTTTTAATGTGACTTTCATTTATTCAATGTTTCAGAGCGAATACAGGACGTTAGCAGCATTTGTTCTGGCCAGTATCGTGAATGATTATCGACAAGGCCAAGTAGCTGCTAATCACGGTAGCCTTGTCTCGATCTGCTTGGAACAACTTGGGGATTCAAACTCTTTATTACGTCAGTGGCTGTGTTTATGTCTGGCAAGACTTTGGCATAATTATGACAAAGCAAGATGGTGTGGAGTTCGAGATATTGCTCATGAGAAGCTGTTTACGTTGTTACAGGATTCAGTTCCTGAGGTACAAGATACGCGTAATATATTTATTTAATTTATTGGCGTTTCTATTAAACGATAATAATATATATTATATAATTGCATAGGTTCGAGCAGCTAGTGTTTATGCTTTGGGCACATTTATAAATAGCGTAACAACACGAAGCGAACATGCAAATAATATCGATCAAATTATTGCTATAACACTCATTAATACAGTCTCTCACGACATGTGCCCTTTAGTTAGAAAAGTATGTAAGTCTGTTATATAATGTAATGCTATATCGACTTAATTATAGATGAAACTATTCGGATACGAATGAAATATTAATATTTTACAGGAATTAGTAGTAGCGCTTCAATGGATGGTTCTACACTTTGAAAATTCCTTCGTAACTTTGGCTTTGGCTGAAGAAAACAGTCGAAAAGATCTTGTTGTGGAAACGTTATCACCATTTAGTGGATTAAGACGCATTAGTTCTAGGGATAGATTAAAAATGCTTTCTCCTAATAATACCTATAGCGTAGACAGTACGGATGGATTTGGCCAGGATCGCATTAAAAGAGTGTCGTCGTCGTCGTCTATTAGTAGTTTAGGTAAGTAACAAAATATGTCGCGCCAGCTAGAGTTACTAGATTTACCTTCGGATTTTGGATAACAATTCCTTATATTGTTTCATTCATATGCCAGGAAATAATTGGGAGTTCGTGAGGAAACCTTGCGAGTCACTTGGTAATAATGATTGGAAATTCCATTGCATGTTCGTACATAGTTCATCCTTCATTTTTAGATTTTGTAACTTTTTATTTTTAGCTAATTTCACATTTATTATCTACAAGCACATTACTGTAAAGTTGAGATATCTATTGACGTTTAATAAAAATGTAACAAGTTGTGATTTAATGATCGTAGGACACAGTTCTCTTGGGAACCTGCCAAGTCTTTCCTATGGTAGTGTATATATGAAACTGTGGCATGGATTATGTAGCCTCGATAATGATCCTCATCCAGCTGTCGCTTCGATGTCCCAGAAAGTCACCAACCATATTCGAAATCAGGTAAATAAGATACTCTGGTAATGTGTTTTACAGTGGATGTAGAATGTATTCGTACACCGATCAATTTCTCAAAAAACTTTTGTGTGAAATTGTAGTTTCTTAACTTCCTTTTCTTATAATCAATGATATTTTACATATTCTCGGAAGTCTCTAAGATAAATATAGTCCAAACAACATTTACTAGTTAATATAATTTGTGAAATTAACAAAAACATGCGAATGAAGAATGAGAATTCTTATGACGAACCAGTTACAGTAGAGTTTGTAACGTAAAAGCATTATTAGTTTATTGCTCCGTATGAATTTAGAAAGCATCAAATTTCCAGTAAAGTACTTTTAAAAATGGCTCTAATAGAGGAATCAAAGAAAATCCACTTCGAATAACTAATACATTTAGTTAATTTAATCCCACGAAGGAAGTATTATATACTTATAAATTAATGTAAATTTCTTTTTTTTTTAATCAAGTTTTAAACCTTAAACAGTTGTGCGAATACTTATTGCTTCAATATTTCTATCGATTAATTGTTTTTTTCTTGTTAATTTCGTAACTTACATAAATAGCTATTTTTTTTTGTGTACTCTATCTATTTTAGAGATTTCCGAGAATATGTAGAATGTCATTGTTTATAACAAATAAGTTAATAAATTACAATTTTACATAGTCTCTTTAGAAATTGATCGGTGTACGAATACTTTCTACACCCACTGTATATTAAGAGTTTCCGTAAAATCGTGACGGTATGTTTTGATTATAGGTTAAGGAATCCTCTGTACCTAAGGAAGGGATCGAAACAAAAATATCTTCGTCGTTATCTCTTCCACCATCTCCCTCGAATCGCACCACTTACTTAAGGTCAGTTAATTTGTAGTTAATTTTTAGTTAATTTTACATGATTCTTAAAATTTGTACGTAAACAGTGTGTGTATATATATATCTCTAATAAAGCACTAGCAAAGGAGAATCACCACCTACAGTAAGTTCTGGAACAGATTTATTACGTTCTTCGAGAGTACCACCGCATAGTAATCGTTCAAGAAAACCACTTCCTAACACAGTAAGAATGATAACTTGATATCGATAGAACATATCCTTTCTTTATTTAACACTTCGATGTCATTTTATCGCAGATATCAGAGGAAGCAGATGAAGTTGCTGGAATTAAAACGCCATTAACAACTTCGCAATTCGTTGAATGGAGTTGCGCTCAATTTGCTCAGCCAGTTAGTTTAGAAAGCGAAACTGAATCGATGAATGATATGGAAAGTAGAGCTCATTACGAAAGAGAATGGCGGTAAGTACTGATAATATATTCCAGCTTTTAAGCCACGAAATGGACTTGGATTACAATCCACTAAATCATTTACACCCTCGCTCATACCACCATACTCATATCTTACGTACTAAACTTAAAATTAATAATCCTTAATCTACATACATCGAAGCCTTAAACTTAACATTAACTTTGGTCTCTTTCTATTCTAAGTACTGATAATATAAAACAACATTCTGTATAGGAATTTAAAATTGCAACCTTTTTTACTAAGCAATATCAATGTTTAGTTACCTAAGGAATAGAAGACAGAGACGCGAGGCAAGAGAAGAACAACTACGAGCAGTACAAAGTAGAATAGAATCGCAAGTATTCCATACAAGATGTCCACATTCCCCTGAAGTTTTAACATTTCATCCGTTTGAACCACATTTGGCTGTAGCATTAAAAGATTTCTTTGGGTATTTATTCTTTGACATACGATAATAACATCCTTGTATAAAATTATGGTTTATTTAATATTATCGTTTGCCCGCAGAGTATGGGATTGCCAAACTGGTACAAAGTTAACTTACTGTGCGAGTCGTGGAAATAAAATGTCACGAATTACAGCTCTCGAGTTCATCAATGCCCACGATGTATCATTGTTAATGGCTGGATCCGATGACGGTTCGGTTAGAGTATGGAAAAATTACAGTAGTACGCTGAGTCGTGATCCGATTTTAGTTACCGCTTGGCAGGCATTGGCTGATATACAGCCGGCGACAAAAACTACGACTGGTGCGCATATATTTGATCATTTGAGTCCCAGGGGTCATTGGAAAAAAGTCGAAAAATACCGAGCAGCGCGGTAGAAAAAAGATATTCAATACAAAATGTTTTAATTGTATTATTTACATTGAAAAAATTTTAAAAAGCAGCTATGTGATTTAAGCGCGCTATTTCGACAGTCAGTGACTACACTGTTTTGGGACTTTTCGACACAAAATCTCAGCAGCTTGGGACTTGTACGGTTAAGCAAAAAATATAAAGCTACGATACATAACTATACGAATTAATTAAAATTGTTTGTAGCAACAGCTGGATTAGTTACAAAATGGGAGCAAAAGTCCCTTACTCTAGCTGTCACAGGTGACGTTCGTATCGTCAGACTCTGGGATGCAGAAACCGAGTTAAAAAGACAAGATATACCGACAGGTGCTGATTGTTGTGCTACATGTATTGATGTTGATGGCGTAGGTTAGTTATCTCTCTCTCTCTCTCTCTCTCTCTCTCTCTATATATATATATATATAAAAGAAAATATATATATATATATATATAAAAGAAAAACAAATTAATACGATATGTATATATATATCGTATTAATTTGTTTTTCTTTTTTATTATTATTATTAATATATTTTGTTATTATTATTATTAAAGCTATTAAACCCCCTACGGGATTATTAGCAATATGCATATAGCTGTGCATATTATCAGTACATATATACATTTACATTATAATATATGAAATACAATACGATAAAACAAAACAATTTCGAAAAAGAGTACAAAAACACGAATCAAGAATAATAATAATATTAAGAATAATAGGCTTATCATTAAGGATATACACAATTCTTTTTCAGAAATTTGTAAATAATTAGCATTTGAACGAGAGGCTTGTACAGAAAAGCATCCACCGTATATAGAGGATAATATCCGACTTTACATAATTTATAAATCATATCATTACGATCTTTGTATTAATTTGTTAATTTACCAAATTTAGATTTTATATTCCACAATTGTAAGTTAGATACAGGACATTATCACTGAACTTATACACTAGTACATTTCACAAAGAAACGAGCTTCAAAGAAAGATGTAATTTATTGGTTAAATATACAATACTTTTATATTCAATTAGAATTTCATATATTGTACTGAATTTATGCAAATTTATGTTCTATCGTAACGAGAAATAATAATTGTTGATACGTGTTGCTGTCTAAAATCTCCCATTATTTTGTATATTTTTATTTTGATAAATATTCTCTTTGAAAATATGTGCAGGTGCAATGATGGCAGTGGGCTGTGGTGATGGTTCCGTTCGCTTATTTGACAGAAGATTACCTCCATTAGAGTCGAGAGTTATGATTTGGAGGGAACATACGGCATGGGTGTTGGGCACATCTTTGAGAAAATCTGAAAGGTCGACACCACAGTTGTTTACTGGATCATCGTCAGGAGATATTAGAATATTTGATCTCAGAAAAAATTCTTCTGTAAGCACTGTACAAATAACGCAAGGTATTACAGCATTGGCAGCACACGAAATGGCTGATATATTTGCTTGGTAAGTTTACAAGTATTGATCGTCATGTCTTACTTTTCCGAATTCAGTAAACAACATAAAAATTAGAATAACTATTTTATGCTAGTAAACTTTTTACGTTAAGTGTAATCAATTTGATAATAGCTCAAATAATAAATAAATTAATGGATATAGTATTAGATGTACCGAAAAGTAATGTCATTTCTTTTACATTAAATTCAGACAAATACATTCATAATACATTTCTATTTTTAATCGATTATGTAATTATCCTTGTTATCAACAACCTTTTGCCATTTAGTGTGCAAATATTCAATACTAAATGGTTCAAAATGAATGAGTTGATGAATGATAAAGAAGTATTGAGATTCACAGAAATGACATTACTTTTCGGTTCACCTAATACTTTCAATTTTTGTTACAATCGTTTTTAAATAATAAAATTATTTATGCCGCATAGACTTGCAAATAAAAAGAGGTCATGAACGGGACATTTCTGCTAGTAGAAACAACTTTATGGTTTTTAGTATAATTAGAGAAGATTTCATGTTATTATTTTACATTTGTTTATAGTAACGTGTTTGTTTAATATCATTTATTGTGTCCATTTTCCAGTGGGTCAACGAATCATTGTATAAGTTTGTATAATACAATGGGTCATCATTTGAATACGATAAAATTCCACGAAGGATTTATGGCTACTCGTATTAGTCCTGTAAGTTGTCTAAGTTTTCATCCCCATCGTGTGATCCTCGCAGCTGGATGCGTAGACAATACTATTACAGCATATGCATCCGAATCGCGAAGATGACTAATAGAAATGGAATTACTGTAAAATTATTTTCGTAAATATTTACTCATCCATCGTGCTTGATATCCTTGGCATATTAGTCAATAAGGAAACTGCCAAGGACGAGACGTTGGAGTTGGTTTCAAAATTGAAAAGTGAATTCTTATTTTTCAATATTTCGTGTTTTTCTACTGCGTTTTCGCTTCCTTTTAGAAAGGTTACTTTCTGGCGCTTAGTTCGCGTAAAGAAATTAATTGTAGTTTCTGTGATGAAGAAACCTGTGAATAGAGTAACCAAAGTCTCTCGAGACGACCAAAGAAAAGCTCGATAACGTACAGCCTTGTGCATACAGGGCCAATGTAATTCATTTTAGAACGCAGTGGAGATTTTGGTATTCTTAAAAATAATGATGCATAATATATGCAAATGTGATGCAACGAAAAATATACGAATGTACGTACGAATGCGTTTAATATTTAATGAAGCTTGTAACATATGCAAGGAAGATGACTGTGCCATGCTAAATTGGTATTAATTATATTTATGGACGATTCACGTAATTTTTTGTCTTATTCTCGACGACAAAAAGTTCAATTTCTTTACGTATTAATCGATGTTCTTTTTGATCGATCCTTAATTTTTCCAATACACGCACTTGAATTCAGAGTTTAACAATTTCTATAAGTATTCTTTTATGCCACGATCAATGCTATATAATTAAATTAGGAAAACAAGTGTAAAGATCCTTAATTTTTCCAATATATGAACTTGAATTCAAACAGAGTTTAACAATTTCTACAAATATTCTTTTATGCCACGATCAATGCTATATAATTAAATTGGAAAAACAAGTGTAAGAACAATATGTTCAAATAATTTAACTATGTTATTTTAGTTTACGACTTAGTGCAATAAATCATGACAGATTAATGGCAGTAAAATGTGTTTAAATAAATAACTCTCGAGATGGCAACTGCAGTAAAGACTTTCTGTATTATCAACCAATTTGTCTTGTAAACAGTTTTACGTATTTTACGCCGTTACTTTTAATTTCGTTATCATTTAATTTTTCGTTGCAATTTTAGAATAATTTTTGTAAATGTTAAATGTCGTATATTTTTACCCGTGGCGGTATCTTTTTATTAAACGGTATCAATGTTATTTCTAAGTGACAGTACTTTATACATTGTTTTTTTCACAAATCGTGGGAACACTTGTATCATATTAAAACGCAGAAGCTTGATAGAAAATACCTTTTTAGTGACGATTGATTCAAACGAATATTAAAATGATGTGCGCAATTTGTATTCAACCAAATAGTTGAATACAGTCGTTCTGTCTTAATCGGAAAGGTGTTTTACGAAATAATACTTATACACTTTCATGTGTGTATGTGCGTTGAATGGTTTATTGAATTATTGCTATTGCAATTGTTGCGAAACAAAATGAAATCAGGCTTCTTATATACACCGATAACACTGATATAAACTACACCGCATAAGCAATTAATTAATAACAAAATTAAGTAACTGATTGAAAAAGAAAATGTAAATATATATATGCATATAGAATATCGAGTGTAACGTTAAAGAAACCATTATGCACAGATAAATTTATCTTCTCATATTATGCAATAGTTTTGTTATTGACGCTGACGTTTGGAGACGCGATAAAATATGTAGATTACCGTAATACTTAGATCAGATAAAACAAAAATTCCTCGATGCAGATGTGTGTATAAGATGATTAAAAAGATGAGTTTAACGATATTAAGATATAAATAAAGAATTCAATAACTTAAGATTGTATCGTAAGTACGATGTTTATTTGAACGCTTAAACAAAGAATTTTTGCTCATTCATGTAGAATTTTACATGTAACTTCGGCAGTGTCTTCTAAAAATTCAATTTATAGAGTATTATGCTTTTACTCTTCTGATATATTGTTTTAGTTTCATAGTGGACTTTTGGACACCTTGTATGTACGGTTTGATGCTAATTTTAATAGACGCGTCGAATGTACTTAAACGGTAAGATCAGCATTAATTGTAAAAACATAAATGCCTATAATCATTTCTGTATATATTATGTACAACAGTATCGTCAGTGCTGTTGTTAACGATATCTATTACAAACGTCGAGTGTTAGAAAACAATTTGAGAGGGGCAAATTCGATGTATTATTTTGCACTGTACTCGTTATTGTATATGATCGTCTGATAATAAATATGATACAACCATGTTATTCGAGCGCGGATTTATAAGTGGTTTTCATTATTTGCTATTATTTGAATAGAAATGAATTTTTATAATTTTTTTTTGTAAATGAATTTTTTTTCGTTCCATTTACAATTAATTATAGATTAAGTGACACACTCGACTTTAGTAAATAGTATGAAGTGCAAAAAATTAGTTTTATTCGATCAGTCTGGTCATTTATGGTGTCAATAATTTATATTATTATAAAAAGTAAATTATGTTTATAAAATTTATAGGCTCTTTGTAAAACAAGTTACGTTAATTAAAATTTCAGAACAAATATTTGTCTTAAAGTGCGTTTACACGCTCAAAGCTATTTGCACAAGCCAGCTTGCACAAGTATATAAATCGTAGCGTGTGAATGCAGGCATGAAGTGTGCGCAAGCCAAAAAATTTGACTTGCGTGAAACCTGTTTTGACAAAAAAGGGGCTTGAGATTCGTAAGTGTAAACGATGTTCAAGTCTCAGTTACAATCTCAGGCATGCGAATTACGAATCTGATACCAGAATTGCAAAATTCAAAATGGCGGATCTAATATGGTCGACATCCATATTCAAAAGTTATTAGATTTTCATGAAACTTGATATTTATGACTTATTTAGACCGCAAACTTTGAATCTGATATCAGAATTGCAAAATTCAAAATGGCGGATCTAATATCGCCGACATGTATATTAAGAAGGTATTACATTTTCTTGAAACTTGGGGTTAAACTTTGTCTCAGGGGCTAATTTTTTTTGGTTAAAACTTGTCAAATCCTGTAGTTTTTAACCTGAAAAGTCTGAAAATGCAAGTTAAAAATTTTGGAAACCAACAGTTTAAAAGATACGGTTACATAAAGATGTGTATCTGTAATTATGTAATGTTTAAAATAACATAGTAAATGTAAATAGTGTAAATAGTAAATAACACAGTAAATTATGTAAAACCTAAAAGAAATGAAGGATTGAGTACAGGCGCGATTGAACGGTCATCCGTGCGAACCAGAGGATGGGTAGAATCAATATGGCGTCGTTCACACCTGTAAAAGTACGCCATATACACACATCTTTATGTACTCGTATCTTTTAAACTATTGAATTCCTAAACTTTCAATTTGCATCTTCGGACTTTTCAGGTCAAAAACAATAAGATATGATAAGTTTTAACCAAAAAAAATGGGCCCCTGAGACAAAGTTCAGCCCGCATTCGTCAAAATTTTCCATTTCGGACACAACAAACTACAATTTTCGGGGTTCCTCATTTCACAATTGTGCAAATTGAACTGAACGTGTAAATAGCAATTTTTCATTCAGTTCATTTGCACAAATTGGCTTGTGCAAATAGTTTGAGCGTGTAAACGCACCATTAAGGGGGTAGACCCGGGTAATGCAGCGAGGTGACATTACCGACAAAAATGAGCCTAAAAAGGGGTCCGTGGTTTTTCACTTTTCGTCCTTATATGAGAATATTTGAAGCTGGATGAGGGCTCATTCGAAAGAAGAAAGCCCAAACCAGGCGGCTATGGCCATGGCTTAACGAGATTGTGTCGCTATTTAATAATATGAGCGTCCAAAGTCGAGAAAAGTATACCGACAGAATGTAAGTATTTTTAGGTTATTAAACGGACTTCGTGACTCAAAAGATGACAATAGCCGCCTGCTTTGGACCCTCCTCTTTCGAATGAGCTCTCACTCAGCCTCAAATGTTCTCATATAAGGACGAAAAATGAAAAATCGTGAAAGCATTCCCAAAGACGAGTTCCGCCATTTTGTGGATAATGCAGTGCAAATTATGTGACAAATTCAGTTCAAGCAATCGGTATGAGATGGCGTCTACTGAGGAGGACTGTAGGGATTCTACATAAAAGAATTACGAACATGAACTAATACCGAACTTTAACAACAAAATAATTTATTTAAACAAGAACAATAAAACAAGATTAACAATTTGAATTCAAGAAGCTGGTTAGAAACACGTTTGAACTGTATGACGGTTGATAAGGGAAATGTTCAAAGTAATTGCAACTAACGGAAAAATGAATCACGCGATAAAAGAGAAACGTAATTAAAATCCGCTACGTCCAAACGCAATAGCCAATTACAAACAATTATCAATGTGAGGTATGAAACATGGTGAAGAACTATACATGTGAAAATCGATAAATGTGTGTAACCCCACAGGGCTTGTGGCGCCACGGAGAGGATTCCTGCTTTACCGACTGCGACTGTTAGCTTAAAAAGAGGCGGTCACCGACAAAAGAAGAAGGTTCAGGAAGTTCACTTTTTGTATTTCCTGTAGAAGGATCGCGTGGGTTACGCGCCTATTGTGTATAATAAAATTTACATAAGAAAAATGCCTTTAAACTTAGAAAATATTGCAGGCGTGTTGAGATATTCATGAAAGAAATTTCAGGTTAGGTTGGAATGGACCATCTTTCCTGTAAAAGATATGTGGTAGCTCCAACGCCAGTATATACGCGGTGACGGATAATTTTTCATGTACTTTACGCCGAGACGCTATCGCGTCTCTAGATATCGTTTTGTTATAAAAGGCAATTAAGGTTCAGTCAATAATCCTCACACGTGATCCCTACAGACTTGAGGGGTTACACACATATATCGATTCGCACACATATAGCTCTTCACACATGTATCACACATCACATTTCATGATTGTTTGTAATTGGCTATTGCGTTTGAACGTAGCGGATTTTAATTACGATTTTCGTTTATTTCTTCATTTTTCCGTTAGTTGCAATTATTTTAAACATTACCATATCAACCATCATAGAGTTCAAACGTGTTTTCCAACCAGTTCCTTAAATTCAATCTGTTAATCTTGTTTCAATGTTTATTGTTTCAATAAATTGTATTTGTGTTCAAGTTCAGTGTTAGTTCATGTTCGTAATTCTTTTATGTAGCTATAGCTATAATTTCGTTATCACTACATTTAAAGAAAAATATCAAAGGGAAAAGATGAACAGTTCAAAATGTTGTCGTGATCCCGGAGAGAGGCAATTACAATACGAAATTTTGTCAGAAATGATTTCTTTATTTCCTGGTGTGCCTTCAAGTAAGGTCGAAATCTGACTGCTGACTGGCTTGCTGGAGACCGAGGGTCCCAGGGCCAAGGAAAATTATCGTAGCTAAACTGTGTGGTGGAGGAGGGGTGCCAAGGTTTACATAGAGACGGAGAGGATGGTGAAAATGGGCAAGGAGAAAGTTGGGGACAGGAAGTGTTTGGGAAAAGACTTGGACGATAAACAGATGGAGGTAATTTATGGCAGGGGCGATGTGACTTGGAGTATCTGACAGTGTATTACACTTGTAGGACCTTGTTTTTTTTGTATAAGTGCAGTTGATGGTTGCATTATTTTTTTAAATAGAAATGTATATTTTTCTTAACATTGGTTGATTTCCGTCATTTTACATAAAAAAGTATCAGGGCGTAAAAGAAGATTAGTTTTCAGGCTACGGCCTATGGTGCGACGTTACGTTACTCTTTATTCCGTTTCGTATTAATTAAAAGTGTAATACAAGAGATGTCATGCAGACGGATCTCAAACATTTATTAGAGCAGAGTTACGATAGCGGAGGTTTAGCCAAGACAGACTGCCTTGGGTATGTTCTCATACTTATACGTAGTCTTATCGATGATGAGTAATGCGCTTTCGAGTCGTGTGCAAGCGGAAATCAGCGGAGGAAGTCCTTATGTAAAGTGACGTAGTTTGGGGCTTTCAGGGTGACTCATACCCCCCTCCTTAAATTGATTTTAGTCTTCCAAGATCTTACTTCCCCTTGAGGATACACTTGTGAAATCTTGCTCTGCTTGGCTCAAATGTAACTTGCTTTGGTATCCATGTCGAATTAAAACTCTATTGCTGGTACCTCTGTATGTATATTAAAGTAAGAAGCAATAATTTATAAAACTTATAATTTACTTAATTTATCGAACTACTAATTAATATACAGGGTGTCCCACAAATGTTGTAACACCTTGAAAGGGGTGGTTCGGGAGGTGATTTGAAACAACTTTTTCCTTAGCGAAAATGTTGTCCGAGGCTTCGTTAAGGAAATATTAACAGAAAAACACCGACCAATCAGAGCGCGAGTATGCCGGTTGAGCGTAGGCTATGCACTAGACGGTCGCGCTCAATCGCTACCGCGAGCGCTCCAGACTGTATTACAGTCTTCGTGGTTAGTACAAAAGAAGTATTTCATTTATGTCCTAATCTTCTTACAAGAGTTCTGGTATTTTAACAGTTTCAATGGAAAACTTCATTTCCCATAAAAGGAATTTCTCTTGGAAAGATCGATTCACAATGTTGTCGTTTATTAAACATTCCCTTTGTCGACACACCATGTCATTGTACTTGACGAGAATCTTCACAATTGAGTTTTCATGGAAAACTCAATTTCCCATTGTAATCAATATAATACTAATCGAGTCATATAATTGCGTGGCAAAGTATAATTATGGTCAATTGTTATTGCCCTCGTAATGCTTCTTTCAAAAGGAAATTGAGGCTCTCAAATAGGAAAGTGCTACTTTAGAGTCCATGCTCGCAATAAAACTATAAAAATGAACCCAAAAGGTTAAGGGACAAAAGGAAAGTACCAACAAACACGCGGTGTTCCCAGGCGGTCACCCATCCAAGTACTATCCGCGCCCAACGCATCTTAACTTCAGTGATCGGACGAGAACTGGTGTGGCATGCGTGGTATGGTCGTTGATATTTACTGAACATTCTCTTTGTCGACACACTGTACCATTTCACTTAACGAGAACATTCATTTCAATGGAAAACTTCATTTAACTTCAGTGATTGGACGAGATCTGGTTCTTTTTTTTGACATACGTTTATTGTGCCACAACAAATTAAATATATTTACTGTTGAATTATATACATATACGTGTTGTAATTATAAATTCATCGCGATGGGTATAGAAAATTTTTTTCAAATTATGTACGTTACAAATTGACTGTTAAACTAATGCTTCACTAACAGCTTATAGTTAAGCATTCTTACATAATTCGTATTTTGGCGGCTATGCTAATGGCGGCGATATCGATCATATCGACGGTATCGATATCATGCAACTATGTTTCTCTTATATTCAGCATTCAACATATTAAAAGTGAAAAATTGTAATCAGAGCAATCTATAATAAATATTCATTTGTATCACAGATCCATCATTTCCTTCCAATAAATATATTAAATAGTATCGGTGAATTGACGGTGCCCTGTGTAGTCCGTTTTCGATCTTGAAGCTTATGGAGGAGGCCGTTGCGCCCTCTGCAACATAAAATTGTTTACCGCGTAGCATGTACTAAGTCATTTTGATCAGATGTTTAGGAAATCCCTTCTTTTTAATTCGCGATTTTAATTCGCGCTCTACGTTACCCGCGGCGCCAGTGTCGTACTACTACATACACTGATATGAATACTATGGATTGGGGATGCTTGCTTTGAGTATATAGTATATGTATAGTATAGTATAGTATAGTATATACAGGATGTCGCAAAAATGTTGTAACACCGTGAAAGAGGTGGTTCGGAAGGTGATTTGAAACAACTTTTTTCTTAGCGAAAATGTTGTCCGAGACTTCGTTGAGGAGATATTAACGGAAAACACTGACCAATCAGAGCGCGAGGATGCCGATTGAGCATGATGCTGTGCGCACTAGCGCGCGAGTGGTAGAAATATTCATAACTTAAGGGTGCGTAGGAGACCCAGCAAAACTCCGAGTTGACTTCAGCGACAGTCGCGGAAAAAGTAGGAAACACCGGGACAAGGACAGAGAGGGCGATACAACAATTGCAGGAGAGACGAGGACAGGGCGATTAGGCTAGCATGATTCTTGTCAAGGATATTGAAGCAAAGAAGCAATATTTTCTAATAATTCTGGTTTCAAAATATTCCTTGTACCTTGGCGCATGCCACTGTAAGGCCCGATTTTGGAAAGTGTATGTAAACAAATTTATTCTATAAGAAAAAAAAAACCATACTTTTATTATCTATAAAGTTTCAAGACCGAAATTGTAAAATCAGGCGTTAGAGTGGCATGCGGAGTGATGTAAAGAATATTTTAGAAAAAGAATCGTGAGAAAATATTGCTTCTTCGCTTCAAAAAACTTGATGAGTTTCGTTGCTGTGAAATCTTGATGATTTGTATGGCAATATGGCTGCTTCGCTATCGCGCTTCCCGTTCTGTTGTTACTATCAGAGAGGATTAGATAGAGTGGAAGGTATGAGTATACGTTTTGTAGCGCCTCTAGTATCCCAGAACCGAACTTTTAAGGAATCGTTTAGAGCGTGTAGTGCAAACATATATATTATATTTTCTGTGCTTACACCGTCATATCTGCTTATACCGTTATACGCGGGAATAAGACCTTTGGGACGCGTCTTTGCTAAAGTTTTCATTCTTTTGTTGTGCATCACCGAGTGTAGTTGTGCGTTTTGTCGTCTTTTTTGTAAATTTCGACGTTGTTTCCTAATACATACGTAAGTATATTTTAGATAATGTTTGCATGTTTTAATAATCAACGAAAAAGTATTCTAAATTATTTCGCTTATTTCATATTAATTGAGCGTTATTTTCGAGTTATCCTTTGTTCGAAATTTGAGCGTCGGTCATGACCAACAAATAAGTTTTTTTAGTAAATTCCTAATATTCCTGTTCATCGCGGCGTCCGATTCGAAGCATTTTATATATAACTTAAAGCTACATTTAATAAATTATATATATGTATAATTTGATAAAATGTAATTGTAGTATGCTGCTGTGTTCTCATGATATGTACATATTTGTATATATTATTTTTTTTCTTAACAGTTTACTTGCATACATAAATAAAATGCCACATAAATGTGCCATTGCAGACTGCATGCGTAAAGCAGGAGATGCTGGAGTAATATTGTTTTCGTTACCGAAAAATCCTGCTATGTAAGTACATAGTATGTTTTATGTGAATATTTATTACAAATGTGAGGGAAAAACATTAACGATGACTTTATTCTTTGTAGCCGAGACAAGTGGCTCCAATTTGCAAACATTGATGCCACAGAAAATAGGAGCATACGTATATGCAATCTTCATTTTAAAGATAGTGATATATGGAAAAGGTATCCAAGGCCTCTTTTGAGACTGAACAGTGTACCTTGCTTCAAGAAATCAAAAAATAAGCTTGACAATAAAGAAAGCATCATGAATGGTATGTAACACATGAAGCATACGTTCTTATTGTACAGTCGATCCTCCTTTAACACGGTACTTTGGGAATATGGTTTTGATGTAACGAATGTATTGTATTATAAAAAAATCGACTCTACAATATATTAGCAACACTATCGAAACAAAGAGTTCTGTTTTGACTCAAATATTTTCATTACTAATCTAATATATGTCCACTCTGTCACTCATTACAGTTTTAAGCATACCTAATATGCTGGAGAGCGTAAGACAGGAAGAGGAAAGCAATATGGAATCTAGCTGCTCAACTCATGGTAAACAAATATTGCAATTACGTTGAATTTGTGTGCATTATATTTACTTTCTGTTTCCCTGTGCTTCATCATCATTGGATACTGTGTGAATTATGTATGCATTGATCATGAATTTGGGATTTTAGTCAACTTTATTGAGTTAAATTGTATTATATTATATACGCGGTAGCGCCAGCGTCAGGCATATGCGGTGGTTATAATTTGTCATGTACTTGCCGTCGAGACGCTACCGCGTCTCTAGATTTATTACATCGTAAATATTCTACAATTCTAAAATATTATATAATATTTAAGACAGAGACCAAAAGTAATAGGTGTTGAAAAATTTTCGTTGTCATCAAGGCACAGTTAATTTTTATTTAAGTGGAAGGCAGTCAGTACTAAGTTTTAAAGAACTGTTTTTTATTTTGGTTGTAACACTTGTGGTCTCTGATTTAAGATATATCATATATTAAAATGCATTTGTAATAAAAAATTTGTAAAAATAAGAAAAATAAATTTCATGAAAATATTTCTACATGTACAGTGAAATATAATGAAAGTTTTGTATTGCAGGTATGACATGTGCTCCATGGACTTCAATCACAAGTAGGCGTCGTGTATCATCGTCTCAGTGTTTTTCGCCAAAAACCACGAGACTTTTAAGATTTAAACATATTACACACAATCTACGCAGCAAGTGCAACAGATTAAGGCAGAAGCAGCTAAAGGAGAAGGAAAGAAACCAAGTACCAAGTACCAAGTACAATTGCTAAAAGAAGCATCACGGGCTCTTTCCACTGATGCGCAGACGTTAATATTATCACAGATAAAGCTAAGAAACGTTAGTAAATATGGACGAAGGTACGACGATAGGTTAAAAGATTTTGTTCTATCCATATACTATCATTCTCCTAAAGCGTACAGATTTCTGAGGAAGTCTTTATATTTGCCGACAATACGGACTTTACGTTCATATCAACAAACATTTCATATTTACCCCGGTGTAAATATGCAAGTATTAAACATGTTAAAAGCCAAATTTTTGACTTATGCTGTCGAAGACAAAGTAGTCTCGCTGGTTTTCGATGAAATCCATTTATATAATGAAGTATACTATGATCCACATATGGATCAATTTCGTGGTGTGGCTGATGACGGAGATACAAGGCAGCCGGAATGCGCGATATCTGCGTTAACATGCATGATCAAATGGATCAATAAAAATGCAAAACAGACATTAGGGTATTGGTTTTTGTCTAGTGCAGGAAATTTTGATAAAACCCAGAATATAATTCAGAAAACAGTCGCAAAAGTATGGGAAATGCGTTTAATACCGAAAGTAATTGTCTTCGACCAAGGACCCCGGAATGTTGGATTACTTAAAAGTTTAAATATAACCCCCCAAAAGCCATATTTTTATTACAAGTCTGAGAAAATTTTTATCATATTTGACCCTCCCCATTTATTAAAATCAGTTAGAAATAATTTTAATAAAAGTGACATTGAATATAATGGAAAAATAGCAAGTTGGGGGGATATCTAAAAAATGTTTGCATTAAATTCAAAAAGGCCTCTAAATTTGGTACCAAATTTCGCCAAAATCGCCACTTTGAGTTGATTCATTTTACCAAAATGAAAGTTTCGTTAGCGGCATAAATATTTAGTGAAGCTGCGTACACGGCACTACTATGTTATAAAGCTATTTTTCCCAATGAATTTCCGTCGGAAAATAGCGATACGGAAGAATTTATTTTAGATATGGACAGATTATTCGATTCATGCAATAGTTTATTACAAGACAAAACGACAAGAAAGAAAAAGAATTTCGCAATATCCAATAATAGTGGGCACAATATATTTCTGGAAGATATACTAAAAAAATTAGAATCCATTAGATTTTTGAATATGAAAGTACCACCGTGTATAAAAGGATGGATTTTAACGATAAATAGTATTATACAACTTTCTAACAAATTACAAAGCCAATATAACATACAGTACTTAAAAACACGACGTTTAAATCAAGATAGTTTGGAAAATTTTTTTGCCACGATAAGGCAACAACACGGTTGTTCAACTAATCCTTCCCCTCAACAATTTGAAAATGGTCTAAAACACGTACTAATTACTCAATTATCAAAAATTTCATCGATAACAAATTGTAACGACGATTTTCAGTCGTTTTGCTCAAAATTAAGCGAAATACATCATTTTAAAAGTGATAATTTACCAGATATACCAGAAACCATTCCAAATACACACAATACAGAAACAATATATATACCAGAAACCACTCCAAGTGATGGACGTAGTATTGAAGACGTTGAGTCATTTGGAGAAGATAATGCAATTTATTATATAACGGGATTCCTGTGCAAGAAGTTTTTAAATACTGTAAATTGCGAATCGTGTAAAAGTATATTAATAGATTCAGAGGACTCTTCATTCGCTGAATACAAATTATTTGCTACGTTAAAAAATAACTGCAATACTGCAGGTTTAATATGTTACGAGCCAGAGCGATAGCGACGCGCGTGTAAGCCCAGCGAGTGGGGTAGATTTGAGAATTGAACCAATACGATTAATTATTGTGTATCAATGGTGCCGAAGGCTGAGGATAGATTAGACAATGCAGACGACTCTGACGTGAAGTTAGATAGTTGCAGGAATCGGTATCTACCAGTAAAGGGTAATCGTAGGTTAGGGTGTTTGGTTGTTGGTTATTGGAGACAAATGCAGACGCTTTGGACGTTAAGTCAGATAGCTGCAGGAATCGGTATCTCCCAGTTAAGGGTAACCGTAGGGTAAGGTTCCAATTGTGAAGTTGTTGGAAAAGTGCAGCGACTCTGGCGCGAAGTCAGATAGCTAGCAGGATCGGTATCTCCCAGTAAAGGGTAACCGCAGGATAGGTTGAATTAGGGAATTCGGGTTGAATACACTGAGCTTAAATCGTATCGTTGATGAATACTACGCGTCGCGGATAAAGCCTCGCAACTTATTAATTTAATTGAATAATAACTCGAGCGGCAAAGTTATTATGTTGTGGGATCGTTACACAGGCTAGGATTGCTTGTTATATCGTGAAGGTTTAGTAATTGACTTAGGAAACTTTGAATTTACACAAAAAGAATATATATTCAGAATAACTATACTAAGTTACAAATGTGCAGTGTTGTGTTGTCGCGGTCGTGTGTAGTAAACGTTGAATTTAATTACCTAATTGTTGCACGGTGTTAACGCACTGGCGATGCGGGGGTCGAGAGTACTTTTATGGCCGTAATAGATTTTAAAACCGTCTTCGCGGATCTATATGGTAACGATGATCGAAAGGAACTGAAGCCCGATCTCACTAGAGTACTACTCTACAGACGATCAATGTGTCTCTAACGAGTAGCTCTTTCGTACTAGCCCCCGTGCAACGAAAATCGTGGGTTTATATACCCCTAAATGTTGGTGGGGAACCGCCAGTGATTTCCATATTTGGAAATCTGACGGTTAGGATTTTCGTGGCTCTGAGGTGTCAGCTGCGTTCCCTGGGAAAGGGTAGATAAGAAGTCCTCCCACGCAACGCAAGTCGAAGATGATGTTAAGAGTATGCAGCTGCAGGATGCACTCCAGGGAGACCGAGCTCCAAATTCCAGGAGGGTAGATAAAATAAAATTGATGAACGCGAGCTTCGGAAACAAACAGCGAGTTTCTGTATACGTAATAAATACCTCCCAAATCAAGCATTTTTGAAAGCATTCAAATTACACAAAAATGTTGTAACATCTTGAAAGAGGTGGTTCGGGAGGTGATTTGAAACAACTTTTTCCTTAGCGAAAATGTTGTCCGAGGCTTCGTTGAGGAGATATTAAAGGAAAACACTGACCAATCAGAGCGCGCGGATACCGTTGGAGCGGCCGTGGTAGGCTACAAGCTAAGCGGCCGCGTCCAATGTCCTTCGATGCACTTGTTCGCGTACAAGCGTGGCCGCTTAGCACATAGCCTTCGCTACCACGGCCGCTCCAACGGTATCCGCGCGCTCTGATTAGTCAGTGTTTTCCGTTAATATCTCTTTAACGAAGCCTCGGACAATATTTTCGCTAAGGAAAAATTGTTTCAAATCACCTCCCGAATCACCCATTTCAAGGAACTACAACATTTTTGGGACACCCTGTATAATAGAGCAAGCATTTCCTATAATACTCTGTGATCAGCCATGTATGCAATTATTTTTAATAACTTTTTTAAAAATGCGATGTCATTGGAAGGCGCGAAATTTACGCCGCGAAATAGAATGTAAACCGAGTGGGTCGAAAAAATATAAAAAATTTAATATTTAAATCATTTTACATTTTAATTAATTTAAAACTTATTTGTACAATCTCGAATATATATTTTAAAGAATACATTGTATGTTTATACCGAACAATAATTTATTATATCCTACCTCTCTCTTAACTTTTACTATTATGTATAAATAATTCGTATTTATAAACTAATATAACTATACTATATAACTAAGTGTAAGTATAAACTTATATTACTTAATTGTAACATATGTTTGATAATTACATATATACTTCATTATATCATATGACTTCAATCTTTTTTACAGAAATCTTGTTGCAATAAAGACGCGCAACACTTTTTCACGACACACTTTGTACAGTATGTTTTAACTTTTACGTTATTACAAAATATAAATTGTAGCATGAAAAAGTGTTGCGCGTCTTTATTGTGATGTAAGTGTGACGTTCGCATATCGACCGTCCAAACCACGGACATATTTTTTTTTCCTTGTAATGAGTTGAAGACAGATGTAGTATTTGTATATTCGAACGTCACCCTATATCTTAGAATGAGAAGCGTTTAGCAAGTAAGAGAGAACCTAAATGATAAGAGCTACGGGCGCGGAGCGAGCGATCTACGTCTTGCTACATTATGTGCCCCTGATACGACCACGGTACGATCGCGGCTTATTCACTATCTTGAACTGCGGATTTGGTTGCTTTATCGCGACGCACGAGAATACAACGGTTCTCCTAGATGTTAAGTCGCAGCTGCAGGTCCCGTACAATTCTCGGTACTCGTTACCACCCACCGATGGGCGGCCAGATCTAATGAGGCCTTGCATCTTTTCGACGAATTCAAGCGTAGCATCAGCTAAGGAACAACCGTCGGCAGTGGCTATCGTTGGTGTCAGTTACCAAAAACCGATAAGCGGTAGACTAAACACCTAGGAATGATTTCGAGGAAGATGTTATTGCTAACGCCATGGGAAGAAATCAACCACCACCCATGAATTTTTAATAAATCACGTGGTATGATTTTTTCTCCTTCCTTCGGACCAAAGGTCCCGAATTAGGGGTATAAGTACGCCCGCAATTCAGGGGCTCGGGATAGTTGCCGCTCGAAATTTCAAGCATATAATTGTCGTACTAGATAGTCGTCGCGAGTCATCCAAAATCATAGTCATTGTCGAGTCGAATCAGACATCAAGTTTTATTGCAAAGCTAAGGTAGTGAACCTTTTTATTCAAACTGTAATTAATTGTAATTGCTATAATAAAAGACCATACGCGGCTCTTAATAAACAGTAACGTAATTTAACAAATTCACATGCTGCAATTATTTTTGTTTTCCTTAATCATTCAACGCGTTCGGAGAGGGAAAAAGGATTAAATTATAGTTAAACCAACTATCTTTTTGGTTTCGTCTGTGGGTTTCTTTTCCGTTATTGTACTCAGGTTCCAAGTCACTTTCGTGCTTGCTGTAAGGGTTGATCGAGGCGTCGAAGCCGGCTTTGAAAGGAATAGACGCAAAACCAGCGGTCGTAAAGGGTTGCACGGGCTTGATAACGATTGACGGGACATGAGATTCATGCCCGATTAAAACTATTATAAATTCCAATTTTTCCCTCTCAGTAGATGAGAAACACCGAAAAGGTACGAAAATACCGGTCGGGCAGACGCGAGCAGATTCGTCGGTTGCTAAAAGACTACGTGCGACCAGCACAAACGGGAAAACTTCCACTCGGGTGCGTAGTGAAGCCGCGAGTGGTGCAAAACAAACTTTTAAAAACACCAGTACCAGCACCAACATCAGCATCAGCATCTATGAGACCCTCTTTTTCGAAGAGAGTAATACAACGCACGAGTGCATCTTTTAACTCGCGTTTAGCAGACGCGTTGTGGATGGAGCCTTCTTCTTGTATCAACATCGTAACCCGCACTCTTTAAATATTTTGTAATTTGATTGTGAATATATAGAAAACCTGCGCGACGCTTTACGAATTATACAAATAGACATGAGAAAATAACAAACGCATGTAACTACTTGGTAACCATTAGTAACATGCTCTACTTCATAATCAACTATCTGCACCAATATTCAAGGATATGTTGTGTTACGCATGGTACGCAAGTTCATAGTGCGACGATAGAGACATTTTTTTAAATGTAAATGATGTTTGTTTTCCAATCAATATTCTAAACAAGCCGTGTAGATGCGGAAAAACGTCTTTCATAAGTTGTAGCCGATGTCGTTGCACTTTATGTTTCCCCTACTTGTATGACAAGTATCATCCTACGATTTGTAATCCCCAAGATGCATTTGACAATTAAAATACAATTATGTTTCGTTATTTATTATTTTTTTGTTATTCTTTGTTTTATAAATAAGAAAAATGTATGAAAATCAATGCGTTTTGTCCTTTATTCGTCCACAATTATAAATATAATATTTGTTGTAATAAAAAATCATGCGAATAAATATATATTTTCTCATTATATTTCCTTTAAATTGTTGTGTACATGAAATAGTACGATGATATACGTGGAAAAAAGGGAAAAAGATGAGAAGAAAAATAGACACGAAAGGGACTGCTTCTTGTTTACAACTCTAACGCAAGGTGATATAAAGAACGCACGAACTTCTCTTGCGATTTTCTCGAAAACGCTTGAGTTGTATGACCCATCACCCGTACGCACTCCTTGTCAGGTGTGTACACGGTTAGCCTGAGGGGTGTTTATAGTTTAGCGTGGGTTCGAGGGGGCGCAGCCCTCCGCCTGGCAGGGGGTCTGGGGGGCCAGCCCCCCAGCATGCATATAATTGAGACATATATGCTTTTCAATTTTTGTAAAAGGATTTTGCGTGAAAAGTATACGCCACGAAATTACGGGAACTCACAGACGCGTATGTGTATTCCGAGACTAAACAATCGACGACTGAACGCTTACACACACACTGCTACAGACGCGTAGCTATACGCAATATTCATTGTAGTAGTAGCAATGATATTTTGCAAATATCTCGGAAACTAAGGCCGAGCGACGGTTATGTGTATAGGAAAACGTTATTCACGATGTTGATTTCTACAACATATTTAAAAATCATCGAAATTGGAGAGGATGTAACCTGTTCTTTATAATTACCTTTTTTTTTATGTCTGTTCGTCGTTTACGTCCAGACGGCTTGATTGATCGGGATGAAACCTCTTGTATCTTGTAAAGCATATTCCCAGTTTGGTCCCGTTACTTCGACATTTTAAGATTTTTTATTTTTTTCCCGTTTTTCTTTTTTTACCAAAAAACCGAAAAATGTTGTATTGCTTCTTATTTCGAAACGGACTGACCAATCGAATTGAATCTTCTTGCATCTGGTAGGGCTTCGGTGCCTCCTAAAAGCTTAAAAAGACATTTACCTTCATCCATCTTTTATCATTTTATTGTACTTTTTTATCGCAAAATTGTACTATGTCACGTATGTTCGGCCTGAATTCGATGAAACCCTTTACATTTTGCTGTCGAAAAGGTTTTCGACTTATTCACTTTGCAGAGATGATTTTTTCTTATTGTTTATAAGTATTGTTATTGCAAAATTCCTATTTATTATGTAACTTGGAGATGAATTTATCGATCGAAATTGAACAATGTCTTGATTTTCCCATTTGTAAAAATCTATGGATTTCTCAATGTTTATAACAATTACTACTGCAAAATCTCTATTATAAATGTCTATCGAAATTGACTTTATTAATGTCTATTGAGATCACATTGAATAACAGCTGATTTCATTGTTTTCCCATTTGTAAAGATCTATGAATTCCTTAATGTTTATAACATATCCGGATAAGGGGGTCAAAAGTGCCCTTGAGTCAAATTGGAAAATAAGCATATCATTTAATAGAGCGTTCAAAGAAAACTATTTGTGCAAAGTTTCAACCCGTTACCATTACCGGAGGGATAGTTCCAGAGCTAAACGTAATTTACCGTTTTGGCTGTTTCGTTACACTGTATCAAAAATTTTGAAAAGAATTAGGTACATTCTATTTTACGACGTACGTGTTTATGAATTTTCAGTTCTTTTGCACTGCAAATAGGATTTTTAAAAAATTCAAAAAATTCAAAAACATTTATTTTTAATAGAAATTATGAAATGACCACGTTTATATTTTTATACTGTTAGTGCCTTCTTATGATTATAAATCTGTAATTTTTTCAGATTTTTGGAAGTGATGGAACGGTGTTGGAAAAATGAAACACCTATTGTTTATATTATTACCTTAATTTTTCATCTGACTATGTTCATATTGTGGGTGTTTTAATAGCTTATTACCGTTATTATTGTATGATTTTGTCAGATTTTTTGCACGTGTTTGCCACATACAAAAAAAATTATAAATCGATATTTTTTAACTTTCCGTTCGCAGAGGAGTACTATGTATATTCGAATGTTTTAAAGAAAATTTGTACATCTCGATGAGATATGTGTTGCTTTATTTAATAATAAACGTAACAAAAATAAATCTAGAGTTGAGGGACACTGCGTTTTACAAAAGTGAAAGTTTCTTTCCTTCTGTCTTTCGTAGTTGGGCCTCTGACAGTATTTATGTTCAGGAGGGCAGTGTGAAAAACATGTGGCAGACCCAAGCCGTATTTTTCTTCTACGACCTGGGCGCCGACTTTCCTATGCGCTTTTGAAAGAGCTGTTAGTCTCACTAGAAGAGTAAAGACGTCCTACCGTGTTCTTTAAAATAAAAGAATATTTAATATAAAATATTAAGTGTGAATTTGTTTATTTAAAAATTCCATAATCCAATAATATGAACCTGTTTTTAAATATATTTTTTCGAAAAAAAAATATTTTCCGAGGATCCCTTCTTTTAAACCATTTTTATTCTTTTTTTTAGGAATTTTTTTCTCATAAATAATAGAAGTCGCTGCAATATGTTATTTAACAAAATATGCTTCATTTTGACCGAGAATGTGAAAAATAATTTTTGTAGACAACTTTAGAGTTTGACCAAAATCGACAGTGAATTGGTTTGGGAAATCTTTATAAAAACCTTCCTTCCTTTTAAAAAAATTGGATTTTCACTTTAGAAAAAATCTTTCTATTTGTTTTTTGTAGGGTTCCATGAGATCTTCAACGAAAAAAAGTTTCAATCAAAAATGTTAATTATTAAAAGAACTACTAATTTATTAAGATTTGATAACTTTTTACATATATTTCCGTCAAAAAGAACTAAAAGGGAGGCCGTTTCGATTGTTTTATGTTTTTTAAAAATTATTCATCTAAAGGCGCGCAGTTTCCATGTATGATAATTGACATCCGTTATGATTTTTTCAATTTTTCGAAAGTATCGAAATTAACGAATTTCATTATAGACGTTACTTTTCCGTTGCAATATCGACTACCACTGCGAAAATTTTACATTACATTATTTGCATTAATGCATTTACTGTTCTACTAATGAACAAAAATTGTCAAAAATTTCGGGGTTTGGGGTTGGGGGTAATTTTTGAAAAAATATTTTTTTTTAATTTGTTGATACTGATTTATAGGAGTACACAAACACTGCAGTGTTTACTTGAACATTTTTTTGATATCTTTTATCATTTCCGAGACTCGGACAAAAGGCGTAGTTTCTCCTTTGAAACGCAAAAGTGGCACGAACTAAAGATGGTGTACTTCGTTGGAAGGTCCCACGAACAAGTGTACCAAGTTTCATCAAAATCGGGGTGTGCCACTCACCGATGTTTCCTTGTGATAAAAGTCGATACTTACACACAGAATTTGATAATACATAAACAAACGCAATTTTTATTCAAATCAGAACTTATTTAATACATTTAAAACTACTTTGAACATGCATATAATGACCATTCGATGCAGTAAAAATATTAATTATCCGAATGTACGATACATAGTACTCCTCTGCGAACGAAAAGTTAGAAAATATCGATTTATAATTTTTTTGTATGTGGCACACCTGTGCAGACAATCTGAAAATCTCATACTATTATAACGGTAATAAACTATTAAAACAGACACAATATGAACATAGTCAGATGACAAATTAAGGTAATAATATAAACAACAATCGGTTTTTCATTTTTCCAACATCGTTCCACCACTTCCAAAAATCTGAAAAAATTACAGACCAATAATCATAAGAAGACATTAACAGTGTAAAAATATAAACGTGATTATTTCATAATTTCTAAAAAAAAAAATATTTAAAAATTTTTGAATTTTTTTGAAATTGAATAGAATTAGATGGAAGAGAAATTGTAGAGAATGAATGTCAAGATCGACAAGAAGAAGAAATAGAAGAAGATACAAGAAATGAAATAGAAAAAGAATTTCATCGGACAGTAGACGTCGTCATGCAGACAGAAACTGCCACTGACGAAGAAGAATATCTAGTCGTAGAAAAAGAAACGACGAAATCAGAGGAAAAGTTACGTCGGTCTGACGGGTTCAGCATTGCTGACATGCACCACGTCTTCGACCAGATAAAATTGATCGGTGAACATTCAGAAACGTTTGAATGTTCAACAAGTCACCTGGAAATAAAAGGTCTGAAAAGATCGGGTTTAAATTCAACCCTTATTCTAGAATGCAGGATGTGCAATTATAGAGCCGAAATGCACAGCCAACCTGAAAATGCTCAGGTAATGAATACAACTGAGAATGCAGTTGCAGCAAACATTCTCAGTGGAGGCGGCTACGCACAAATGAAGGATTTGTTGACATCTATCAATGTCAAGAAATATAGGAAATATCACGACTATAGCAGCAGAAGAAGAAAAAAGGCTAGCCGTAGAAAGAGGTGATGTCCTTTCATGTGGAATTCCACATATTCCTGTAGCTGCAGACGGAAGCTGGATGAAAAGGTCGTACCGAACAGGAAAGTACGACTCATTGTCCGATGTTGATATGATCATTGGTTATCACACCAAAAAAGTATTATTTATTGGCGCGAAGAACAAAATTTGTTGTATATGCCGGAAAGCAGCCACAAAAGAAAAAGATCTGCCACACCATCAATGTTTTAAAAATTGGGGTAAAAAATCTAAGCGTCTACCAAGATGGAGAGCGACGCCATCGCAGAAGGTTTCAAGAGCAGTGTCGAAAAAAGAGAATTAATTTATTCGACACTGATTGCTGATGGCGATAGCAGCGTCTACAAAAAAATTTTAGACTGCGACCCATATAAAAATATGATTCGTGTAAAGAAAATTGAATGCACGAATCACTTGTTGCGCAACTTCGGCAATAAGTTAAAAGAAGTTGCGAAGAAGACTCCGCCGGGCTGTTATAGACAAGCCATCGAAAATAATATTCGACGGATGCGTATGGGAATTGCAAAAGCTGCAGAATATAGATTTAATGAACATACTTCGATATTACAGAGACAACAAAAATTATACGAAGATATTATGAATGTGTTTGGAGAACATAAACACTGCAAAAGAATTGGATATTTCTGCAACGGAACGATGAAGGAGAATGAACAAAACATCGTCCCACATTTATTAAACCTGGGAGTTTACCAAAAAATACAAGATATTCTTCGATCGTTGGCGGCACACGCAGAAAGCTTACTGTACCGAACCAATAGTAATACGGTAGAATGTTTTAATGCCATCATTGCGAAATATATTTGCGGAAAACGCATTAATTTTGGCCAAAGAGGATCATACACGGGAAGATGTGCCAATGCTGTAATTCAGTACAACATTAAAGAAGTGTTGTCTCGATTACAGAGATCGTGTGGAAAAGAGCCGCCACAGTTGTTACTAGATCTAGAGAATTCGAAGAAGAAGAAAAAATTGACAAATGCCAAAAAAGAAAAGAAGAGCGAGACCAAAAAGAAAAATTTCCATGCAAGTAAAGATAAAGATTACGGACTAAATGCACAGAAGCCAGACATGGATGAATTTATGTTCGATCTCCAGAAAGAGAAACATCTGGAGATGCTGAACGAATGGCAAAATCAAAAAGAAAAAAGTGAGCAGGAAACCATAGAACAATGCAAAAGCAGGAAATGGTTGGCTCACAAGTCAAAACTTTTGACAGCGTCCAACTTTGGTAAAGTTTGCCGCCGACGCAAAGATACACCGTGTGTCAAGATGGTACAGTCGCTGTTATATCCACGTGTATTGAACGTTCCTGCCGTAGAATACGGACGGGAGAATGAAGAAATTGCTCGGGGAGAATTGTCGAGATAGAAAAACATTGAAATAAAAAAATGTGGTCTTTTCATCGACGCATTGATACCTTATTTGGAAGCATCGCCGGATGGCGTTATCGGTGAAGACGGCATTGTGGAAATAAAATGCCCGAAATCCGCAGAAGATGTTACTCCAGAAGAGGCAATAACAACAAACAAGTCTGTGAAGGCCATATTTACCGACAGTACAGGCAGCGCATTGCGCAAAACACACCCGTACTTCTACCAAGTCCAAGGACAATTGCACATAACGGGTAGAAAATACTGCCTGTTTTGTCTACGGACCAAAAAAGGAATTATGTCCATTCGTGTTGACAAGGATGACGATTTTTGGAATCGAGAAATGGAACCAAAATTAACACAATTTTACCTGAATTGTATGCTGCCAGAAATAGTTTACAGCAGATATAACAGAGGCATGTCAATACGGGAGCCTCAGAATATCAAAAAGTGAATGTAAGTAAGAAAAAAAAGTTTAATATTATAAAGTGGCGATCCAAACGCTAACCGACGTCGAGCTGCACATTTTCAGATAAGTACGCAGACTCGCTGATTCTATCAGCGAATGAATATAACATTAAAATATTATATTAAAGTTGCAACTTTCCGACGTCGAGCTGCACACTTTCAAATAAGTGTGCAGATTCGTTGATTCCATCAGCGATTAATATGTTACTAAAATTTAAATTATCCGACGTCGAGCTGCACGCTTTGAAATAAATGTACAGGCTCGCTGATTTTATCAGCGAATGAATAGAATATTAAAATATTATATTAAAGTTTGCAATTTTCCGACGTCGAGTGCACTTAAAGAAGTGCAACCCAGCTGACTCAATCAGCTGGTGACACAGTGGAGTAGACCTACAGGGTATACCACTGACAAAAAAAACGCATCAACAATAGTACCTCAAGGGTGATGTAGAAATCTATTTATTCGCGTGTCACCTTACCTTTTATATTTTCAGATTATATTAATTTTCTTTTTTGTTATGTTGTAGTGTTACGTGCGACATTTTCAATTTTTATTTTTCTTGATTTCGTCGGCAGGAATGTATTTGAGATGGTTTACCATCCCGAATTCGTTCTAATCGAACACAAACCTAGCCTTTGACGGTAGTTTATTAAATTCATTCTTGAACAAAGATACACATTCTGCTGGCAGCACCGCACCTTGTACAAAAACTTTGCAAATATGTTCAATTTGTTTAATATTTTAATAGGTTTAGTATTGTAAATATGTTAAGTGTGTTGCTTGTTACGAATGAAAGGCGTTAAATCATGTACTGTAACAGCGGCGTGTACGTGTATAATTGTTGGAAAGATAAGCACATCGAATATTACCATCGCGTTCAAATATCACGGTTACAGATATCATTGAAAGAAGGACATGTAAATATCGCGCATTTAGGTTAAACCTTTATATTGCTATTTCTTCTTCATGTACGCTCTGAATACCGAACCCGTAACTCGAATAGCAGCGCGATTCGTCCGCGCGCACGCTAGGACGAATCGAGCGGTTTGGTGGGCGCGAGGCGCGAGACGCTGTACAACTCGTAAACACCAAATTCTTGCGTGTACCAAGTCGCGAAATCTCGAAGACTTTTTCTATAAACTGGCGACGATCACGTGGTTCTAAGATCCTTTGTCTCCAAAGCTTCTAGAACGTTCCACCGAGTTTACGTGGTCGAGCAAGGCACGAGCCTTCTTACTTCTCATCGTACAGTCGCGCGAGCGTGATAGTAGTCCGAGCGAATAGTTTAGAGCAGAGTTGCCGTATTAAAGTAAATTCATTTTGTGAAAAGTGAGTGATAGGCAAGGACTCTTATTCCTCGTTAAAATAATTTTATTTTAACTTATTTAAAGCATTTTAGATTTAGATTTTCTTTTTCCTTTTTGTAAATAGTAATTTCGCTTTTGATTACGTAAATTATAATTCTTTCACGTGTGTGTGCTTTCCTTCAACCACAGGGCGATTCGAACAACGCACATAATCGAGGCCAGCGTTTTTCTCGACTTATATTGTAAAGAAATTTAGTGGTGAGTTGATTTTCTTCCAAGCAATATTTTTGTATAAATGATTGTGAATTTATTTTGTTGTGACCACTCGGAATATCAATAAATGATATTTCATTTCCGGGGAATCCTTAATTGATGTTCTCGGGTGGTATTTCCATTGATATTTTATAAAATATTATTCCGACAATTTTATTGTATTCTTTATCATATGAAACTACAATTCCTGGTTTCTGGAATATCAATAAATGATATATTTGATTTCCGGGGTAACCCTATCCGATATTCTAGGAACAAATATATATATATATTTTTTTATTGTTTTTCTTTATTAAATGCGTAACTGAATTTTTGACGATTTCATATGTGTATTTTCTGTATGAGCTTATAATGAAAGAAGGTGTGTGTATTAAATCTTGTTGACCAAACGTACATTTGAGCCACTAATCACATAACTCATTGTATTATCAAAATCAATACCACGAAATTATTAATTGAATAAATATTACAGTGGCATGTTAACAGTAGAACATTCTTATATTTGAATTAACCGCTCGCATCCATTTGAATTCCCAAATCTTAAATAAAAGAAGACATAGAAATTTACGTACGAGTCAGGGCCCGTACGGGACTGCTGTGACAAAGACCTGACTTTGCCGATAGGCAAGTAAAATATACGAAATATATAAAATAAAAATTATTTAAGCTGTGACGCAGGAATCTGTGTTTCACGTCACAGTAGCAACGAATCATCTGGACTATTGTTACGAAGTTGGCACAAGCGTGATACCCGGAGACATAACGATCGTCGAGATGTTGACCGACGACTCGGCGAACGAGCATCAGCTGGCAAGGTAAGCAGAAGAGAGGAATTTTAATTTTTAAATCATGAAGTATATCTTTCATTTTTTTCCGCATTTTGTTTATACACCTTTTCTTTCTGTTTCAATAGCAAATCATTTGGAATGTTTATCTTCAAGATGATAATGGGCGACGCGGAGAAAAAGCCGTTTCGAAAACGTTCAACAGCTCGCAAGGAAAGGTCGTGATCCGGACGAGCGCTTTTTGAACGAGACCGGGCTCAGAGCTGGGTGAAGTAGGTATTTTAAATAGTAAAAAAATATTTTTTTTCAGATCATGCATGTACTTTTAAAAATAATTATAATAAAATATGAATATTAAACTAATTATATAACAATTAATGGAACAGCATCTTCTAAACAAATTTTCATGTCATATCTTTTTTATATCTTCCACATGTAAATAGGTATAATATGGTGTAAATATTTATTACTCCTTACAATTCACATGAAACTCTCTCTCTCTCTCTCTCTCTCTCTCTCTCTCTCTCTCTCTCTCTC